TGATGGGAGACAAATAGCGTTTGGCTCACTTCCATGTAAGCTCGTACACGAGTTCATGACCCCTAGTTGCTACATATGGAAAGACGACTAGCTGGGAGACATAGCTTTAGATGCAGTTATTGTATAGACCAGCATAATCACAGCATCTGAATGCTGCAGCGATTGCTTGGGTCATGTTTGAGGAGAGAGTCTAAAATCGTCAAATGACGAATGTGCTGTTTCGTATTACTGCTATTCTGGCAACTCCCGACTGAGATTTTCAGGCCAAAATTTTCAACGGGCGATCGGCGCAGAATCGACACTCGACCGGCAGCATCCAAGGGGCTTTAGCTCAGGGGTAAGAGCAATTGGCTGCAGTCCAATAGGTCACTAGTTCAATTCTGGTAGGTCCCTTCCCTTTTTATTCCCTTGGCCATTGCATTCCACTACTGCATCAGTTACTATTTACCAGAAAGAGCTAGGCAGTATATAGTCTTTTGATTTGGTAATTATCGATACTAAGGTTATACCAATGGGTGGGACAATCGTTAACTTCGAGTTTCCACGTACAGTGAAAACCCTAGATACTCTGTGTTCTGTGGACAGGAATTCAAGCGCTGAGCGATGTCTAGATTATATATCCATATAGCTAACCTACATATTTGGATTCTCTGCAACTACCAATGCAGAACACCATGTATTTATTATCAGGAAACACAACCATTGATGTTTGAAGCCTGTTCATAGCATCTGCTGGAAGTAAAGCGAAATCAAAAGAAAATATTATTATAAGCTTAATTTTCAAAGAAAATAGAAATTTGGAACGGAATCGGATTAGTTGCTGGTTCTGAATCTTCTGATCTGGGGGTCTAGCTCAAATGGTAGAGCGCGCGCTTCGCATGCGTGAGGCACTGGGATCGATACCCAGGTCCTCCACAGAATTTTTGCTGCCACCCTCGGTGGTCGCCGTTCTTTTTTATGTGTCGGTGATATCGAGTACATCGCTCAGCCCGGTACTGTTTTAGATGTGTTGGGCATAGCAATGCTGGTTTTTTCTTTGGCATAGATGTTGTAGCCGTTTGATCCGTAGGTACATTAGCATCCGCTACTTGGTGGTGTGGTGATGCATGCAGACTTGCCACACTATATGAGGATAATGCTGAGAAGAATACAGAAAGGAGAGACTTGGCTCTTACCGTGTGATATTCCATGTGATATGTAAATGGCTACTGGAGCGATAGCAGAATGTGTATTGTTATACAGAGCAAAGCCATATGTATGTGTTCTATAAAAAGGTTACAGCTCAAACGAGACATTCTGCGTGGCAATGTATGCCAAATTGCCCTTCTCGTCCTTGATACAGCCACGCAGGAAGCCAATAGATTTTGTCGTCCGCAGGCACTCGATCTCCAGGGTCACAGTCGAGTTGACCGGCACGCCCGCCAGGTAATTCGTGGTCAGGTCGGTCGACACAATCTTCTTTGCGCCATCGGCAACCACGGCAGTGGCGATTTTTGCCGGCCGCATTGAACAGAGTGAACACGCAGCCGCCGTGGATCGTGCCCCAGGTATTGCAAATCGGTGTTCTCGACGCTGAATGTGAAGGTCAGGAAGGCGCTGGTGACCCGGTCGCCCTTGGCGCCAGTGGGCTTGATGCTGACGAGCTGGCAGGCGCGAGACCGGCGGCGTTGTCAGCTTGACGTTGCTGGCCAGCAGCTGCTTGTGGTATGTCTCGGCGCGGCGGGTCAGCTCCTCGGCGGGCACGGGCGACGTGAATTCAGGTGCAGCGGTCATTGTGTATGAAATTAGTAGCGGTGACAAAAATACATAAAAGTGTAGAGTTAGGAAGAAATGAAAAAAAATAGCGCGGGCTTTTCATATGCTTGGCAGTGGTTGGGTTGATTTTTACACCAAAACTCCGGTCCCGGACTTCGGGAAGTCATGTGTACCGGGGCTTTTCGGCTATCTAGATCCGCGCCTTCATCGTGGCTTCTAGTTCCCTTGTGTAGAAGTTTGTGTGCTGGGCGGTCGCATAGACCAGGTCCGGGTTCTGGGCATCACGGAACACAGCGGCAGCCGAGAGAGGCTGGGTGATGCTGATGAGGCGGCTCTCGATGGCTATGCGCGTGCCGGGCTTGATCGGTCAGAGAACCTTGGAAGTCAGAGCGGTCGTGGCACTGAGGCTGCCGGGGTCAGCAGCCTTGATGATCGAACTGGTCAAGTTGTCGGTGACAGTAGTGATCCATCCTTCATCCAGGGTGCTGGGGATGCCGATCTTGTCGTTGGTGATAAGCTTGTTAACATAGAATGCAGAGATTCGAGCGTCAGTACGAATAGTGTTGAAGAACTCGATCATGCCATAGCGTGGTGGGTTTGGCATCGCTGGATAATACTACAACTGAATGTGCATGAATTGGAAGGGGCATGTAGAGGCAAGGAGAGGAATAACCCACTATTCGTTAAACTATGAGGCGTCTCTTGCATAGAAAGGCAGTCAATCAGCAACCACCAGCCAGTGCACTGGGCTTTTCCCTTGGTGGGTTTTAGCGTGGCATCCAATTTCAGCAGCTGATACCGTATGGTCGCCATGCGGTTTATTCCTTTGTTGCCAGCTAGGAAAATGACGAATGATATGTATATTCAGTTTTGAAACATGGATCGGGTGCAGCCGACACATTAAAGAATGCCTCTTGCTCAGATTTTAGGCTGCGTGACAACCAGGTTGTTCTTGTAGAACTTTGTATGGCTCCCCACGGCATAGACGGTTTCGGGCTTCATCTTGTCCCTGAACACGGCGGTGGCATGGGGCTGGATTCCGCCGCGGTTGGTCAGCTTGCAGCACATCTCAACCAGGGTGTTGGGGCGTACTGGCATAACACCCTGGACAGAGATCGCCGTCGAAACCGATGCCCGACCGCGCTCCCCCATGACACCGATAATGATGGCCGTGGTGTTATCAGTGACAGTACCTAGCCAGCCTTCGTCCAAGGTGCCGGACGCGCCAATGTCGTTCTCTGTGACCAGGATTTCGCATCTCATCTCGCAGTTCGCTTGGTCAACATGGGTGATCCGAGGCTGGACCTGGATCCCGTAGTACAGGTAGGCGTTTGTGCGGCTCTGGCGGTCATTGAGGGCCTGGAGCAGCTCGGCATCAGACGGATTTGTGGGCAGCGACATAGTGTAGAGATTAAAGAAAGAGTTTATAAAGAAGGCAGGAAAAGGAAACTGGATTAAGCTTTTTTCTTTTTCTTTTTCACGTTAGCATGCACGGAGGTTCGAGTTTTCCTCCGGAGGGATGGGTGCGCCGAGGGCATCCGATCTTGCGCGCGGGAAATTCTGTTCTCTGGAGCCACTCTGGGAAATTTTCACAGTTTCCCAAGCACGTCCTTTGCGAATTTTGTGTGGCCACAGACCGCATAGACAACGGTCGGGTCGGTAGTGCTTCTGAATGTCGCCAGTGCATGCAGGTGGGACAGCTGCGGGTTCGTCACTTTGCAGATGACCTCGACAGGCGTGTTTGGCGCGATCGCTGCGCATGCCTGCACGGAGAGCGAGACAGATACGGATGTGACCACAGAGCCGCCTCTAGCGGTGCCAAAAACGGCCAGGAGCGTGGATGTGTTGTTGTCGGCTATGGTGGCGACCAGGCCCTCATCGAGAGTGCCAGCATCGGTGATGTGATTGTCTGTGGCGATGAAGGTTAGAGTCAGGATGCCGACGTCCAGGTCCACCGAATCGACTTCGGTGCCGACATCCTCGCCAAAGTAAGATACCGAGTCCATTGTTCATTAACCGCAAAAAGAAAATGGTAGGAAGGAGAGCAGGTTGCGTACATTTCATTTGGTGTGTTGTCTCGCACCATTACATGTGAAAAAAAGGTGGGGTTAATCCTCATCGCACATGACCAAAGGATACTTTTTTCTTAGCCAAAAAAGTACATGTGGATTTCACAGCCTGGCCAGCGACACGCCGCCCGGCACCTGGCCGACGTGGTCTTTGTAGACCATAGTATGCAAGCCCATCGCATACACTGTCCCGGGCTTGGCTGCATCGCGGAACACTGCGGTCGCCTGCAGCATGCGCCCCTGGAACATGATAACCCGGCACTCGATCTCAAGACGCACGCCAGCCTCGATCTTCTCCAGATTATTAACAGTCAGCGAGGTCGTGAAGGTATTGCGGGTGTCGGCCACTGCGCAGATAAGCGGGTCGGTTGCATTGTCGGTTACGGTGGCCAGCCAGCCTTCGTCCAGGTAGTTACGCGAGACTTCCGAGGCTGTGACCGTGTATTCGTAGGTCACCCGGCGCTGCTTTGCGTCGGCTGTGGCTATTTGCAGGTCGATGGCACTGCCGTAGTTGCCGGAGGGAATTCGCCCTGCGGCAATTCTGTCCAAGAATTCGCGCATAATAAGGCCGGACATGGGTAGTAGTGGTAAAAAAGTAATGGTGGGTGTCAGAGACACAAAAGGAGCCCTCTGTTGATCGCAGTATTGGCAGGAGGCACAGGTAGTAGCGTGCCCCCTGGCCACCTGCGACTCGGAGACATGCATTGAAAAAAGGGAGTGCATACGTCACATGTCCAGGCACTCAGGATCAGTTAAAGAAAATCACCAAATTTATTTCTATTCCCTCGCTGCCCGCTCGCGATTCAGCTGAGCCGCGTCCAGGCGCGCCAGATCCTTGGCCGACTCATACAGCTGCACAGCATTAATAAGGTTCTTGACCACACACACCGGGCCTGCCAGTACCGCCAATGCGGCCACCAGCCAGTACGCCATGCCGTTCACATAATGCAGAACATAGATCAGCATGAAAAACGCCTCGTTGCCGAAACAGAAGCCAAACAGCACCCGGCGGTCTGTATAGTATGCGCGCAGAATCCAATGCGTGCTGGCGTCCACCTGCTTGTGGTTCGTCTTGCCCGTGATCAGCTGGCTGTACATCTGCATGTAGTGGCTCGAGATATCCAGCGAGATCAGCAGACAGAATATCAGTGCACATTTGGGGTACAGCTGCGCCAGGTACGTCAGAAGCACCGTCGTCGTGCACCGGTCCGTCACCATGTCCAGCACTTCGCCAAACTTGCTGCACTGGTGAAGCTTGCGTGCGTAGTAGCCGTCGGCGGCGTCCAGGAGCTCGGAAATTGCATACGAGAAAAACATGGCTACCCAGTGCTCGCTGTACATGGAGTAGACGGCGACGGCAGTCAGGGCTACGCGCGAGTAGCCGATAAGGTTTGGCACGAACCAGAACACGTCGTGATAGCTCAAATTGGACATGATTCCAGATAGTAATTTGTGTGTGGAAAAAAACAAAGCAAACAAGAGGGCGGGCAGGCGGCGGAAAAATGAAGCTCGTTTCTGAGTCGCATTGGGCAAAATTGGGGGGAAGGGGAGAGAAAATCATGCCATTTGGACAAGTTTCTCGTTGGAAAAAAAAACACGTGCTATGGGGTGATGAGGTTGTCCAGCGATGCCTTGGGGCTGCGGGCCAGGATGTCGGGGGTCACCAGCTGCTTGCGGTTGGCATAGAGGATCTTGTATGTGGTCTTGATGGTGGCCTCGCCAACGCCAGCAATGCTGGAGATGGCCTTCGCGTCCTTTGGATTGGCAGTCAGGTGCGAGGCCATGTAAATGCACGCGCTGGCAATGGACACCGGGCTCTTGCCCGCAATCTTATCCATGTCCTTGGCCTTCTGGCTCAGCAGCTCGGCGATGCGCTGGGTCTCCATATCCAAGGTCAGGTTGGAGCAGAAGCGCAGAATCAAGTCATCCGACGACGTGACGCCCGATTCGGTGCCCAGTCTGCCCTTCAGGAACTTGAAGGTCCTGCCAATGTCCCTCCTGTCGACCTTGGTCAAAGCACAGATCTCCTTAAAGGTCCGCGGCACGCCCTCCTGGCGGCAGGCCAGGAAAATGCACGCAGCAATAATGGCGTCGTTGTTTTTCCCGCGCTGCAGATTCTCGTCCTCGACCTTCTTGTACAGCTGCTTGGCCACGTCCCCAATCACCTTGGGCAGGTCATACGCATCGCACAGCGCCGATATCTCCTTGTACGCCTGCACCAGGTTCCGCTCGTGCCGCTGCGCCGTCGACCGGCCGTGGATCCGGTTCAGGTCGCGCGCCAGCCCTGACCCGCCGTCCCCGCCCGCGCTATCACCGTGTCCAGCTGCGCCCCGTCCAGAAACGGGTTCGCTGCATTCCCCACGCGTGACGGGTCGTCGCCTTCGTCGTTGGCAAACGTCCGCCATTCGGACCGCGTGTCGATGATCCGGTCCCCCAATACCAGCCCGCAGTCGCCGCACACCAGGTCGCCCGAGGCGAACTCCTCCACTATGTTGGGTGTCGGGTTGCGGCAGTCGGGACAAATTACCGTCACGTTCAGCGCCCGTGTGGGTGCTGACGGCGAGGAATCGGCGCTGAGGGTCTTTGTCTCTGGCATTGCACACTGCTCCTTTTATTTTCAATGACAAAGGAAATAAAAGGAGAAATGAAAAAACAAGAGGTGGAAAAGCACAGGAGAAAAAGCCATGGGGCGGAATCTCTCAGTGCTAGTGATGCAAAAGGTCACGGGACAGGATCTGATCGCTGTATGCTCTTACGCCTTCGCCCAAAGCTCAGAGAATCCCCTGCCGAGTTTAGGCCTCGGATGCAGCTCCCCCACAAGGGACAAGGAATCATTGGGAACCAGATACCGTTTTTCAACAAATTTATACTAGAAGAGTAAAGGCAGATGCGGCCAGGACAGCATTTGGAGTCAGGGCAGAGGCAGAAGGTCTATGGAAGCGTGCTGGGCAAGCGCCAGCAGGTCGTCGGACAGCAGGCGCTTGCGGTCGGCAAACAGCAACCGATACGAGTTCTTAATCGTGACTTCGCTGACCCCAGCGACATTGGAAATAACCTTGGCGTCCCTGGGCTGGCCGACCAAATGCGACGCCATATAAATGCAAGCGCCGGCCACCGACACAGGGCTCTTGCCCGCCAACGTATCGCACTCCCTGGCGCGTCTGCTCAGCTCCACTGCACACTCCACGGCGCCCCTGAGCAGCGACAAATTCGCGCAGAACCTAGCCATCAGATCGCCCGACGACATACTGCAGGCGCCCAGCTTGTCTTTCAGGAGCTTAAATGTCCTGCCGATATCGCGCCTGGGCACGCGCGTCAACGCACAGATCTCCTTAAAGGTCCTTGGCACGCCCTCCTGGCGGCAGGCCAGGAAAATGCACGTGGCCAGGACTGCGTCGAGGCTTTTGCCGCGGTGCAGGCTGCGGGCCTCGGCGCGTTGATACAGCGAGCGCGCAGTATGGTCTATTGTCAGCGAAAGGTCCATCGACTGGCACATTTGCGAGAGCTGCGAGAAGGCCCGCGTGAGATTGCGCTCGTGCCGCTGCTGCGCCGCGCGGCTTGCCGGCTTGGGCGATTCGGCCGCTGTCGAGTCGCCAGAGTCGCTGCCGGCCACGTCCATTAGCAAAAGTGCGTCTTGCAGCTGCGTCTGCTTGATTGTTGTCCAGCTATGGCAGCTGCATGCCGTCGGCGTGATGTGGATACGGGATGTGCACTGTGCGCACGGTATTGTTGGGCTGCGCACTGGTGTTGTGTCTGTAGAAGGCATCGTGAAAAAATGTATGGAGGGTTTTTTTTGGTTTTACAAAGTGGAGATAAAAATTTTTTTGTCTGTTTTCGATCCAGGTTTTGCTACTAACAAAAAATTTTGTAATAGCCTTGTCGCCCTGATTTCGCTGCCGGCCAATGTGAGCGCGAGCCGCATTTTTCCTCACCCCACCCAGCGGTTCTCGACTCTGTGTGCTTTGGTCATCGAAACCCCAGCTCGTCTCTACATATTTTTCCTCGTCATTTTTCTTACCTTTACTATGCTGTCGCGCTGCACTCAGCTTCGGGCTGTCGGGCGTAGGGTCAGACTACCGCAACACCCTGTACGATCGGTGAGCCGCCGGGGCTTCTCATGGCATGCCCGGCCAACACTGCCCCGGCTCGCAATTCTCAGCACGCTTGGCGCCGTCGGAGCGATAGGAGCCGTGTGGCTCGGATCCCCCACGCCACTCCCACCCCCACCACCCATACCTGCATCCACGCCTGCCCCAGATCCTGAACGCTCCTGGCTCAGCACGCTGACCACCCGCCTGCACATGTACCTGCTGGAGCCCATACTGACAGTGCTGCGAGCCGGCGAGCTGCTGGTGTATTTCGTGCCGGTGCTACTCTGCTATCCAGCGATGTGGCTCGGCAGGCGGCGGTTCTGGTACCGCCTGCTGCGTATGCAGATGAGTCGGGCTGGTCCGACGTTTGTCAAGCTGGCACAGTGGGCGGCGAGCCGCACGGACCTGTTTGAGTCAGCAATGTGCGAGGAGCTGGCACTTCTGCATGACGCGAACACACAGCACTCGATTGAGCATTCGCATAGGCAGGTCTGCCAAATGCTTGATATCGGCGATATCTCGGAGGTCTTTGCGGAGTTTGAACCCGAGGCCCTGGGCGCTGGTGCGGTTGCGCAGGTGCATTATGCGCGGCTGCATCCCGAGTATGCGCAGAAAATGCATATGGAGGAGACGGTGGCGGTCAAGGTCCTGCATCCAAACATGGCATGTCGTGTCAGCCGGGACCTGCGGATCATGCACTGGGGAGCGGTGCTTCTGAGTCTGCTGCCTGGCATGTCGTGGCTCAGTCTGCCCGAGGAGGTCTGCGTATTCGGCGACATGATGCAGGCCCAGCTGGATCTGCGCACCGAGGCATATAATCTGGGGCGGTTCCGGGCAAATTTTTCCCACCGCCCAGGCGTGCGGTTCCCGCAGCCGTACAAGGGCTCGCGCCAGGTTCTCATCGAGAGCTTCGAGGATGGCGTGCCCCTGCGTGCCTTTTTGGACAGCGACAAACGCACCTTGTATGACCGCGGGCTGGGCGCGCGTGGTCTGGACGCGTTCCTGCAGATGCTGATCGCCGACAACTTCGTCCACGCCGATTTGCATCCAGGAAATATTCTGGTGCGTCTGCGGCCGCCGTTTGCCGAGTCCCCGCTGGACCGCTTCATCGAGGAGTTCTTTGACAAGTCGCCGTTCCGCCTGCACACCGAGCCACTGCCTTCGTCCCAAGAGGCCCATCAGCACGTGCGCGCGCTAATGGCAAAGGGCCAGGGACTGCAGGACTACATGTCGGTTCTCTATGCCAACGGTTATGCTCCAGAGTTGGTCCTGCTGGACTGCGGCCTGGCGACCGAGTTGGACTCGGCGAGCCGCCGGAATTTCCTGGACCTGTTCCAGGCCGTGTGCGAGTTCAACGGCGCCCAGGCCGGCCAGCTGATGATTTCGCGCTGCCGCACGCCCTCGTTGGTCATCGGCCCCGATATTTTTGTGCTGCGGATCCAGGACATCATCCTAAAGGTGCGCGCCGTGTCCTTCCGCCTGTCCAAGCTGACCTTTGGCGATATCTTTGCGCCTGTCTTGCAGGCCGTACGCACTCACCATGTGAGGCTGGAGCCGGCGTTCACCAATATCATCATGGCCATGTTTGTCTTGGAGGGCGTCGGCAGGCGTCTGGACCCAGAGTCGGATATTCTCAAGGCTGCGTTGCCGCTGTTGCGCCAGTGGCTCAAGGCCGAGGGCAGCCAGGGCTTGGTAGACTGGCATGTAGGCAAGGTGTGGCTGTACATTGAGGTGCGCGAGTACATCGACAGGATCCGCGACTGGGGCAACGACGACCATGAGTTCTTTGGCCCATTCGCGCCCTTCATCACTGCTGACTCGAGCACATCCTAAGCGTTTTTTTCTATACAAGTGTATTATTATTCCTTTTACAGCTCCTGGTTGATCTCCTCCAGACGCTTCGCCACGTACGCGAAATCATCGAATGCCTCGTGTGCGACGTTATTCTCGATGCACCACTTGTCCAGGTCGAGTCCGCGCCTGGCAAACAAGTAGTCGGCGCGCTTCGCACTGGCCACATCC